GTGGCGGACAGTCGGAGAAGATGGTGGCGGGCCAGTCGTAGAGGAGCGTAGACGGTGGGCTTTCGCCGGATGTCCCGCGTCTTCTTCGGCTGGAGAAGAGAGAGAAGAAAAAAAAACTGAAATCCGTTTTCAGAAAACGAAAACGTGAAAATGAAAACGTCTTTTTTTCGTTTTCAGTTTTTCAGAAAAGACAAAAACGTTTTTGTTTTTATTTTTTAAAAAATTTTACACCAAACGCATTTTATGTTTCCGTTTTCATTTTTTAGTCTCGAAAAATGTGAAAAATGAAAATGAAAACGGAAACAAACAGGGCCTAAGTTTTTTTCTTTGAGAGAAAACACTGTTATTAATAAAAATTTATCTTCTGCTCGGATTTCTCCCAAAAAAACTCTCCAAGATCCTACTCTTGGATCGGCCGGAGTCCAATGCCGCCTCCAGATGGGTTCATCGGAATCCCGACCCTAGATGCGGGCTCTCAATCATGGGATGCATATGCCGTTTGTGATGGTGGTGCGCAAGTTTGGCTCAGTGGCGCTTTTCCACCACTCGTCGTACGGTGGATGGTCCCTTGAGGATTGTAGTCACCCCTTTTTATGCCGGTGGTTCTGCCTTCTTTGACTTTGGTAGCCGTCTTCTCATCAGAAGCGTCGTTTGTGTGACTTGGGTTCTGTTTTGTGTTTTTAATTTTGATGTCTAATAATGGCGTGGTCAATTGCGCTGTTTGGATGTTTTCACCTTGTGTTCTGGTTTTGTTGTGTATTAGCGAAGGTGGTTTCTCCATCCTTCAATGTAGGTTGTTTGTTTAGTTCGTTTGTTTGCAGTGTCATAGGTGGCCTTAACACTATAGGTCTCTTAGTCTTGATTGATCAGAATTTTTCACAAATTATAATGGTTTTGTTGAAAGAGCCATCTCAGAGCTAAATATTTGGCGTGCTTTTTTGGTTTTTTGATTGGGGAACCTTGCATGCATTTCGACTCCTTAAATGTTTCACTCAAATTTATCGACAGGTACCCGTTAATGTTCAAGGTCGAGTTATCTTACTTTTTAAGGCTATTTATGTCAGTATTGGTGTTTGTACAACTTTAATTTGCAATGCAATTTTCCCTTTAAAAAAATAAAATTTGAATTTTTATTTAAAAAAATTAGATTGTGATTCAAACCCGGAAAATAAAAGGATGCGTAGCTTACTACAACAGGGAATAATTCTCAAAATTAGTAACTTAAGGGATAATTTGCCAAACTCTAAAAGGTTAGAGGAACAAACTGCAAAAAAGAAAAATACCAAAAGATGTGTAACCCATTGACCCAATCAAATCCAAAATCATCCCAATTCCAGCGGAAACAGAGGAAGGGACAAAATGGAGCCCACAATTTAACCATGGGAAAGCAAATTCAACCCTCAAAAGGAAAATATATAAAGTAACAAACCAAGAATAGATCTTTTACCAAATAAAGTTGATCTAAAAAGAATCTTAAGATCAAGATAAACAAGAGGAAATGAGAATAGCAAAAATGAGTTAAACAGAAGAATTTTTCTTTTTTGTTTTTAATTTTAATTATTATTTATTTATAGAGAGAAGAAGAAAAGCTCAACAAGAATTTTTAGGAAACGTTAAAAATTGAGGCATTAAACGGTTGGTTGGTTGGTTGGTTAATGTTGGCCAGGTTGTGGGCGTGGTTGGAATGGGGAAGAGAAAAGCTTCTCGTTGCAGCTTTGACTTTGACAGAGTAAAACTCAACCCATTTCCACCACCACCACCATAATCATCAAAACAGAACCAAAGCAATAAAATAAACACAAAAAGATCATATATATATATATATTATATTTACGGAAAAAAGGGGTTTTTTTTTCATTTTTTTTGGGTTTCTTTGATCTGATGGGTTTGAAGCTGTATTTGGGAGCTTGGTCAGGCCAGCTCCTTATCTGGGTCCCAAGAGAAATCATCTAAAAAGGGTCGAAAGATTTTCTCTCTCTCTCTCTAATTTTTTTTCTCCCCTGAGAAAAATTGATCTTTTTTCAAGTGGGTTCAAAGCCTTTTTGATTCATCTGGGAAATATCTGGTGTTTTGGGGTTGTTTCTGGAATGTGGAGGGACGCTGGAACTCCTGCTGATTCTTTCTATCAGGTCCGACCAGAGTGCACTGATGTTCCCAAAACTCGCTTCAAAATCAAGGTTCGTTATTTTTTTATTTATTGTTAAATTTTTTCAGTGACCCATTTTTTATTTTATTATATTTTAAAGATTTGATATGGGATTGTGCTGGACTTTTTAGATCAGGCATTGGATTGTTTTTCAAAAATTGGACATAATATGGCTCGATTTGAAGGACACATGACCATTTTACTCGTGATGTGGACATGATTTTGTTAATTGCTGAAGTTGATTGTAATATCATGATCAATTGAGATGGAAAGGAAAAAGTTTTTTTCAGATACATACATACATACATATATATATATATATATATATATATATATATTAGATAGATAGATATATAGACATACACACTTACATATATGTTTCGAGAAGCCTCAAATGTTGCTTTTAAGATGTTGAGATAATGACATTTAGCTCATTTGACTCTTAATGTAGAGGTTTTTATTTTTTAGGTATTGTATGATTCAAACGTAAATATTAGCTGTTGTTAGTTCAAGTCTTTTTGCTGCCAATCCATCTTTGACTCAACAGTTATCACATATATCGCAAAACTCAGCATTGCGTCCTGTGTCAATAGGTGAAGCTTATTGTTTTTATCTGCTGTTGCAGGCTGGTAAAACCCTAAGCGTAAGGAAATGGCAGGCTGCATTTACTCCAGAAGGGTATCTGGATATTGGCAAGACGTTAAGCCGAATACAACGTGGGGTAAGTGCACGTGTTCGTGATTCAATAGCTGCCGCTAAGTATTTTAGTTGCTGTTCCGTATGTGAATGTAAAATTGAATGTTCATAAGCGTTCAGTTAATGTTAATTTCGGATAGATCTTCACCTTGGCTTTCTAGAGAATCCTGAGTTAACTGCCAATGCAATCTTAGCATTTAAATTTCAGATCCTAATTCATATAAGCATGCTTAAGTATTAAGACTATATTTGTGATTACAGTCTTTACAGATAGTCGAATATTGAGCTCAAAGGTTTTGTAAAGGTCACAAATCCAGCTTAACACGGTTCCTTTAGGTCCTGATACTATGATTATTCTACTAGCAGCATTATGTGGACATGCAAATTGTACGACAGTTTTTGTTGTTCACTGCCTCTTTATTGTTTAGATTTCGATTTCCTTTACTTTTTTTTTTTTTGTTAATACATTTCCTGATAGATGAACATAATATGAGGGCTAATACCTCAGCATATGTTTAATTTATCCAATTAGGGAATCCACCCATCAATTAGAGGAGAAGTATGGGAATTCTTACTTGGTTGCTATGATCCCAAGAGTACATTTGACGAGCGAGACCACATGCGAGCACGTCGAAGGTAATCCAATTTTCCTTTAGTGATTATGGTAAGTCATGATTATTTATTATTAGCTAAACCTCCTAATGGAGCAGCGAACCTGAGTGTTGAGGTTGTTCAAAAACACACACACTCTCTCCTATTGACAGGTTTCGCTCATGTCTCCAGTTTCATCCCTTGTCTAGTTGTGTTGTGTAGGCTCTATATAATCTTTTTGGAGCTTAGGTAATATAAAATATTATAGCTCCAAAATAACGCTTAATCATCCTAAATGGTTGTCTAATTGACAACAACAAAGTGTGGTAATACGCCTGCAATGCATTTTAAATTATTCCTTCTTTCATAACACAGACACCCGGCATCCCAACTATGTGTCTTTTTGAGCTCCTATTTACAAGTTCGTGTCCTTTTAATAAAACCGTATGCTATCAAATTTGTTGTGCTTCCTCTTCCCACTCTAATATTCCATTTGTTAAGCATCACATAATATCTGTGCACCTTCAGGGTGCAATATGCTAGGTGGAAGGAAGAATGCTGCCAACTATTTCCGGTTGTTGGAAGTGGTCGGTTTATTACGGCCCCCATAGTCACTGAAGATGGTCAGCCAATTCAAGATCCAATAGTACTTCAAGAAACAAATGTGGACAGTGGCACAGCTGTTCGGAATGACATGGTTGGTTCAAGTACAAATGCTTCCAATAATTTGGGAGAGGTGAAGGACAAAAAAGTAATCCAGTGGATGCTTACCTTGCATCAAATAGGTTGGTCTAACGTAAATGCTCTTTTTGTTTGTAGCGATTTAAATGCTTCTGTAGCTTCTTGGTCTTGGATGTTACACAAGATTTACTAAAAGAAACCTTGGTTATCTTGGCAGGTCTTGATGTGGTTCGCACTGATCGGACATTGGTGTTTTATGAGAAGCAAGATAACCTATCAAAACTTTGGGACATTCTAGCCATATATGCTTGGATAGATACAGATGTCGGCTATTGCCAAGGTTGATTACTTTTGACCATTGTCTATAAGGCCAAACTAGTAACTTGCACTCTTTTATATATAAATATAAATATAAATATAAATATATATAAATATATATATATATATATTTTCCCGCTGAAGCATGTACTTTTTCCTAGCAAAGGATTGTTTTGAAATGAATGGTGAATGTCTACAATTTTATCCGGTTATGAACACTTTGCTTATACTGTTGTGGTATAGAAGTATTAAGGGCATAAATGACTAATAAAATCATTTACTTGTTATCACATAAATCGTCATTCATTCCTGCAAAATGGAAAATGACTTCCTAAATTTAAAAGTTGCTATAGGCTGACGGTTTCGACACTTTTAACATGCTGACAATGCTGAGCAGGGATGAGTGACCTTTGCTCCCCCATGATTATCCTTCTCGAGGATGAAGCTGATGCATTTTGGTGCTTCGAACGCTTGATGCGCAGATTGGTACATATGTTTCCATAGAAATTAATTCTTACCACATTGCATAATGTTTTCATTCTTATCAGTCTACTTGGCCCGTGTTTCCATAATGTCATCCCTCTTTTTGCTAAAATTTGAGACGTCGGAGTAATATTGCTTTCTTTTTGTCTAGTTGGTGCTTTCATCTCTTGTCATTTGAGCAGTTTCTAGATGATAGTTGTACAAGTTTGGAGAATGTGACGCAGTAGAGTTTTTTTCTCTCTTTTTTAAAAGAAAAATTTATATTCCCATTTTAGTTTGCACCTTGTTATTTAATCCTGTGTGTGTGTGGTTTTTCTTTTTTTTTTTTTTTTTTTTTTTTTTTCTCTTTTTTTTTTTTTTTTTTTTTTTTTTTTTTTTTACGCTATCATTATTTGATTTGCTAAATTGTTATATTTCTCCAGTAATTTTTTTTTTCTTTTTATGTTCCATGGGTATATCACTTCAACGTGATTTCCTTTTAATCCTCATTCCTCATTTTCTATATTGAACTTGAAACAACATTCTTTTTTTTTCCTGCCGTTTTTCTATCCATAAAACACATCCTTAAAATCCATGACAGTATCTAGTATTTGAAATTTGTTTACAGTTGATTTCGATTTGCAGTTCCATTGATGCAAATCTTTTTATCCGATGTCTTTTGTGTCCCGTTTTTAAGCGAGGAAATTTTAGATGCACTGATAGCCATGTTGGAGTGGAGACACAACTTAGTAATTTGGCTGCAATTACTCAAGTTATTGATCCAAAACTTCATCAGCATTTAGGTACACATCTTTACTTGGTTTGTTTCTTTAAATTCTACGTATGCCAATCTCAACTATAATAGCCATAATAATGACTTTTCTACTTTGTAACCGTTATATGCTTTTCTTTTTCTTATACATCCCCTTGTGTTCTGTTTGCCACGCAGAGACACTTGGTGGAGGTGACTATTTATTCGCCTTTCGGATGCTTATGGTTTTATTCCGTCGAGAGTTTTCCTTTTGTGATTCATTGTACCTTTGGGAGGTAATTCTACTTCTTCTTCTCCACTTCTTCATGCTTGTAAATTTTCTTTACTTCTAATTATGGTTGTTTGGACTTTTGATAGATGATGTGGGCACTAGAATATGACCCTGATTTATTCTCCCTCTACGAAGAACCTGGTGGAGCTAATGAAAGAGCTGACGGATCTCAAGGGAAAGCAAAGTCAATACGTCAGTGTGGGAAGTACGAAAGGGAAAATATGAAGAATGGGGCGAAAAATTCAGAAGCGCCACTCCCTATCTCGGTTTTCCTCGTTGCTAGTGTCTTGAAGGATAAGAGCTCAAAGCTACTGCACGAGGCTCGCGGTCTTGATGATGTTGTTAAGGTCAGTTAGATGAGTTAACTTGCAGGGCTTGTGGAAAACACACTATGTATCTTTAGGACAAGATTTCGTTTAAGCCACAGAACAACATTTGACTGCAAGAAAATGCTAGTACTTGGCAAACAAAGTACATGCATTATGTTATATCAACGCAGATGACCGATATTAAAATCAAAATATAATATAAACACAAAACTATTAATATCTTTTTTGATAAATAAATGAAAAAGGCCAGAAGATTAAAAGGCCCAAACATTATGGGCTTGTTTTGTTTATAGGTTCAAATCAGGTGATTAGAACCAAAATTTAAATTTTTAAAATTTTTGTGAAAGAAAACACTGTAGCAAACAATGAATTGGGTTTCAAACCCCTCTACCAAACAAGCTATATGTATGAGTTGCTTTACAGCAAAATATCAGTAAAAAAAAATACAAAACAAAATATAAATATTCCTACTCTACTCTATACTTTCTTCATATTATCTTTTGATTCTTATACGGGTCATCTTTGTTGATATCAGTGTGCATAATGCATATTTTCTCCTTCGTCTCTTTCTCAATTAATTCTTTTGCAGATATTGAATGACATGACTGGAAACTTGGATGCCAAAAAGGCATGTACTGGCGCAATGAAACTTCACAAGAAATATCTGAAGAAGGTATTAATGTTATTGAGTACTTGTATTTCATAAAGTGCTGAAATTAATCATGTTTGTTCTTCTTAACTGCAGGCCAAGAAGGCATAGCATTAGATCGCGACATTTCTGGCTAATCGAGTGCTAATCGGGATTTTTCACATGCTTTGGCTTAATTTGGCAAGGGATTAAGAAGTAAATTCTACAAGAATCTTGGCGCAGAGTTCACCAAGTTTGTTTGGGCTTTTGAGTTCAGCAGAAACAACTGCTGCAAATTAATCTCCATTTGTTTGTACACCAAAAACATTCTTTAAGTAGGCATTATACAAATCCTACTTTGTATGTCGCCATCTGTTATGTTGTTGTCTGTAACAATTTGATATAAAATCACCAAATAAGAAAGAAAGAAAAAAAGGGAAGAAAAAAAAAAAAGAAAAAAGAAATCGTGGGGGTCTTGAACCCAATAAATGAAATTACGCATTCTTTTTATTCTTTTGGAAATGATTTGAGAGAGAATCATATACTTCTGACTTTGAAGAATCCTCTTACGCATAATCAAAGTTATTTTAACGTTTATATTCATGTCTTCTTTTCTCTTGCAGATATTTTTCTTCTCTTCATAGTCTCTGGCAGATGTATACTCATTCTTTCCTTGTGCATTTTCCTTTGTTTGAAAACATGGAAAAATTATGAGCAACAAAAATTCCATTTCGCCGCAGCAGCAAATTGCCAGGTATCAATATGCAGTCCATGCCCAAAAACCGCGTATGAAAGCCTAAAGAACCAAAGGATCCTTTTTGTTCTTTTTCTTTTTCAAAGAAAAGAATCAAGGAGTAGCATCAACATAGTACAAACTTCCCATAGTTTCAATGCTTTACAACCCGCTTTAGGACTCGACTGATAAATATGTTGTGTGGTATTAAGTGCATACTTGCACGAGTAAGAATTAAGCCCATTCTTTAATTAGAATTGAGTTAGGTGCTTTTCGTTCTATTGTTGTCGGGGTCGGGATATTAATAAAAGAGAGAATTATTAAACTTACCCTTAAAAGGGTATGGGTCTAGATTTTTATACTTTTAGATTAATATCTTATTGATTAATATAATATTTAATTAAAAGGGTATTAATTAAAATTAAAGAGTAAAAATCAGGACTCATACAATTAAAAAGAATATTTATCTTTTTTTCTCTATTCAAAATGATGAAGAGAATGAGAGCGGGAAGATACTATAATCCCCCTTTTTCTTGAGAAAGAAAATCCTTGTCCTCTTTTAGTAGAAATAACTCTTTTTGTTTTAGATTTCTAGGCTCTTGGCAAAAGCGGCAAAAAAAAAAAAAAAAAACAAACAAACAAACAGCCTTTTATGGTAAGGTATCTGCAACACATCGAATTAGTTGGTATTGAAAATATGTAGAACGAATTAAGGAGTTTTTTCGGTAGTTCGTCCTACTGATAGTCTCAGCTTTTTATTATTGGATTTAATCAAAATCACATCAAATTAAAAAAAGTATCCATAACAAGCATATTCTAATACAAATTTAACGGCTGAAAAATAAAGGACTACTAGTAGTCCATTTTTGTAAGGACTATTAGAGAAAGTCTCAATGAGTTATTAGGTTGATATAAAAAATACTATAGAATGGCTTAGAACTTGTAGTTAGTGGTGGAGCCATAAGATTTAGAACTTTATCTTAGATTTCTGCATAAAATCTTAATTGTGCCCCACTTTGTGAAAAAAATTATGACTGTGCCCCCACTCAATAATTAAAATTTATGATTATGTCCCTATTCAATAAAAAAAATTATCTTTAACTTTTTTATAGTATCCTAACTGAAAGTACTTTCTTTCCGCCACTGCATGTTGTACAAAAATACGATTGAGTTTTAGACTACTCTGAGAACTATTGTAGAAAAGAGGATGAATGTACAAAAATTGTACTTACACATCACCAATGTAATGGTGCAAACTTGCCCATTTATCACTTAACTTGATTTAATTTTAGTATTTATTGTGACGATTTTGTGGATTTTTTTTTAAAAACCCCAAAATAAAGTTAACCTTATTATTTTATCTTATATATATATATATAAGTTTTCCTAAAATATAAGTCTCATTAGCTATACTGTATTTATATATATATATATATATATTATATTTTTAAAATTCATAACTTAACAAAACATAATGCGAAATAAAATGCTAGCGGTATCCATTTCCCATATCTCCTCACTGTTTGCCCGTCGTTGCACACAACCCATCATTCATTTTACATAGACTGCTTACCTACAATATAAATACATATTAAGAATGAGTTTACACTCACTAAGTAGGAATTATATATCGCTAATTAAAATAGAGTACTTAGAGTATAGTAGTAATGGATGTACCAATTATGCTCATTTATGAATTTGACTTATTAATCTTATAGGCCCGAGTTTTCTTACCGATTGCGTGCGATCAACGGGTAAAGAGGGTTTGCAAGGTCTCCAACTACACCGTGACCCTAATTCATTGCATCAATTTTTTTCCTGAACATAAGCCCCCCCCCCCCCCCCCCCCCCCCCCCCAATCTTGAGAGGTTGGTACGACACTTGACTTAAAACTGCTCTCATTAGTGTCATTAGTGAGCATGCGACATGACATACTATAACATGAGCATAAACATGTATATAAGACACGTATAATATCTCACTTTAGAACTTATTCATATTGTATGTGAGATTCTCACTTACCTGCTATCTGCAAAGGTTGGGACTAGTAATACTCGCTGAGGTTTACCTCTACTGCTGTATTCTGTAAAGAAAACCCACTGAGGTATGAATTTGACTTATTATAAGCTAATCTATTTAGCTTAGACTATTTAGGAATTTATTCTTATACTTAGAAAATATTTTTCTTTTTAAATAAGGATCATATTACCTTCTTGCATATTACAAGGATTATTTTAGATAAATCCTTATCATTTAATTTTCCTTAATTGTATTTGCTGAATCTGTCCTAGGTTGATAACTTAGTCTTTTAATTAGTTATCTAAACCATAGTCGAGGTCTAAGTTACCAATTTATTTTATTTGTTAGATTGAGCCCAAAATAGTATTAAGGCCTATTACTTTACTACATATCTGCAACGTTCCTATACTCCTATGTATCGGGTTTAGGCTTAAAATGTTGCGGGTCTAATACAAGTGTTGGGCCCGTATCTAATGTTTATTAAAAATTCACAATCCGATCCTATTTTGAAAATCATTATAGTAAATCGCTACAGTAAATCATATTTTACTGCTAGTCATATTATCGGTTACTTAAAATTAGTGTCGGAAGACACATAATGATTTTCTTTAGAAAATTACCATAAACTTGTAAAACTTCATTAGAATGTCTTTTTAAACCTCAATTACTAGGTTGCATAATAAACACTCATAATTTGTACAACTTTAAATTAAAATTTTTGGGGAAAGGTTTTTAATAAACGTTACAACTGTTTATAAATTGTACCGGTTAAACTTGACAGTTTTTCTTAAACTGTAAATAACTCTATTTAAGGTTTAAATTCTTAAAATCTGAGGTTGACGAAATTTCTTCATCTTGTCACAATCTAAAATTCTTATGTTTTGTGGAAAACGTGGTTCGGCCTCGAAATGATCCAAAAATTTTAACGAGGGTTGCACAAATGTTATTGTGCAGTTTTTGAAAACGGCCTGAAAACGCATACTAGAGTCGAATTTGTGATTTTTCACAGTCACGAAGATATGTCAGTAACGTCGAAATATAAAAGATTCACAGGTTAGAAATCTCGAAATTACCCTCTAAAGGGTCCAAAAAAGTAAAAGCAGAAATTGTTTCAAATTGACAATTTTAGACAGTTTTTATGAATTTCTAGGCAGTTTTAGATAAATGTCCAAAAGCACACTTTGAAGGCCGATTTGAGACTTCTCTACAACGAAATATTCAGAATTTCAAGATCTACAACTTTTGTGAAATAGAATTTTTCTTAATTTTGACTCTAACGACTTGAAATATTACGTCAAAGTGGACTGAAAATTTTAAACCAAAATAGCAACTTGACAACTTAATCTTTTGCATCTTTTAACCTCTTAAAATTAACATGCAAAGTTTGGATCTTATTTTAAACACACTAACAACAACCATACACCCTAATGATGCAATTTAAAAATTATTGATCTTGACTCAAAACCCTTTGCATGTGAAGATTTAACCATAAAAATACAAATTTTGTAACAAAAACTAATTTTGCACTTAAAAATTAAAATGATCAAAGTAAGTTTAAAAATTCTTACCACAATCCTTAGGAGAGAAATGATCTTGACTACAAGATGAAAAATTCCTACAAATATTTAAACTTCTTAAATAAAAATTGAAACTTTAAAGAAAACCAAGAGAAAAAGGCTTTGAATTCACCCTTGAGAATCACTTGAAAACTCTAGGAATTTCAACAAAACTTCTTCTCCTACCTCTTGATTATGGGTTTTAAGACTTTGTGTGGGGTGAGAAGTGAAAAAATTTGAGAGAAAGAGTAAGAGGGTGGTTCGGCCAAGCTAGAGAGAGAGTGAGTGAAGAAGATGATTAGAAGAAGATGATTAGAAGAAGATGATTAGAAGAAGATGATTAGAAGATGATGCTTAGAAGAAGATGATTAGAAGATGATGATTAGAAGATGATGATTAGAAGAAGATGATTAGAAGAAGATGATTAAAAGAAGATGATTAGACGAAGATGATTAGAAGAAAATGATTAGAAGAAAAAGAAATGGTAAAAGAATGGCCTTAATTTTAAGTGGGGTATTTATAGACAACTAAGCTTCTAATCTTAATCTCTCTAATTAGACTTAATTAAGCTAAAATCTTGCTTAAAACAAGTTTAAGGGTGGCGTCCATGCATAGGAGAAGGAAGATAAACTTTGACACCTAATAAGGAATCTTAACCCACATCAAATCAAGGTCAAACCTTGTTTAATTTTTGTCTCCCACTAACTCCTCTTTTAACAGATTAAGCTTGTATTGACAGTGATCTCTAGATCAGTTTTCAGGATAAAAATTTTCTGACAGTTTTCAATCTACTGTTTAAAATCGTAATCCAATACTAATTTTGTAAGGAACCAGTACAGATTTAGATTTTAAATCACGTAAATAATTTAAACTATTTCAAAACTTAAAATTTGTTTTAGAATAAATTAAAATATGAGTTTAAGATACTTGAATTAATCTCTTAGTAGAACGTAAAAATTGACAGTGTCGATTCTCGAGTCTAGCTTTAGGGTTTTACTGAAAACGTGACTCGCGTAACACCGATTTTATTAATTGGTAATTAAAGACTTCTTTGAATATTAGAGTGCTTTTCAAAGCACTGCTAATACTGTACTGTACTCAGAAATTCTTATGTCTAGAATTGCGAGTCATATTCGAATATAAATTTTTCCCTTCTTAAATCGCTGTGAGGATTATCGACCAAGTCGTAACATAATAACATTTTAACATAAAATTTCATTTAGAATTTTAAAGTAATATTATTAATTTCATAAATCCTTCATTACTAAAAACATGTCCTTATCTGAGAAAATTCTTAAGTTAATGACGTAAATTACACTAATTAATTCCAAAATTTTCTTGGTCATTACATTTATATTCTCACACCTCATACTCTCAAACATTCCTTCAACCTTTCATTGAACCAATCCATGAGTGTCAATTTACTCTCTTTTCACTTAGTTTAAATGTAATGGTTCAAGTTTAATCCACAAGGCTAGTTTTTATGTTTAAGTAGTTTTACATTTTTTAGTTAATGTAATATATTAATTAACTAATCTATTATTTTGTTGTTTTTCTTAATTTTTTTAACTCTTCATAATTTTCTTTTCCTTGTATTTTGCGTGCTTATAATATTTTTTTCATATATTTTGCCGGATTGTATTCTCTTTTATGTTTGTTTCTCTATTAGATGGTTTTTATTTTTTATTTTTTATTTTAGTTTTACTAGCTAATAAAGAAGAAATTCTAATAAAGTTGTGTATCTAGCCAACTCCAGGAAGTAAATGCAACCAATGATCTACCATCAACCTTTTATATTTCTTATATCATGTTCTTCCTTTCAAGTACTCCACCAATAGAATTTTAAAATAGAATGAGGTACGGAGGAGAGAGAAAGGGCATTGGAGAGAGGTGTAGAGGAGAGAGAAAGGGTGAATCATAGGAGAGAAAAGACGCTCGTGAAATCCAAAGTGTGAGAGAGGAAGTGAGAAAGTGAGAAAGAGTAAAAGAAAAACAAACTCAAGTTTTAATGACGAATTAAAATATTTCTAACATTTACTACCTCAAGTTTTCTAAATGTTACATTTACTACAATTTCTGTTTTTATAATTTAGTTGAAACTAGTTTCAAGAAAACTTTTTAAGTGTTTAAAGTTGAAAACAAAATGTGGTTATTTTGGTGAAATCTCGTGGACATATTCTTTGGAAAAAGGGTTATTAATCGCACTTCTTACATAGACAAATAAGCATCTCCTTGAAGTCGAACCTCATAAATTAATTATATTTTTATATAGTCTCATATATTTGCTCAAATAAGCAATTCTTTGTTTGTGGGCGATGTGGTATTACGTTCATGCGTTTCTTATTTATATATTTTTACTAATTACAATAAATAAATTTTTGTGTTAGTCTTAATAGCTCGTTATACTTTACCACTATACAGGTAAAATGTCCGATAATGGCACCGAAATTTACAGTTATATGGACAAATATTTTCATGGTTTTTTCAATTTTTTTTTTTTTTGCTCTTTCCGCTTTTATCCCTAAACGTTGAGTTATATCTATATCTATACCTACATACTAAGAGAATGTGTTTTGAGAGAGTTTTTTTTTTCTTTTCTTTTTTAGCTTTTTTTTTAAGTTTTTCTTTTTTTTTCTTTCTTTTTTTTCTTATTTTTTTATTGCATCTTTTATCTTTGAGTTTTTTATATTTCTAAATATATTTCATTTAAATACTTTTTTTACGTTTATCTAAAATATTACTTTTTTTGAATTACTTTGCTTAATTTATTCTCAAATGTATTATGACATAAATATATATATATATATATATACATATATTACCTGTGATCTTCATACATTTCAGTTTTTATAGTGAAATATTTTACACACTAGAAAACTGTGCGTACCATTTAGCATAAGTTTTTATTTTTTATTTTTATTTTTTTGTCTTTTTCTTCCTTGTCCTTTGCTTTAAATCTTCTTTCTCGCTTTCATCTTTATTTCTTTTATGCTCTCTTTTTTCTTTCTCTTTTTTTTTTCTAACAATTTATTCTCAAATTGTCCGTACATAAATATTTTTTTGCTTGTGATCCTCATAAATTTCAACTTTAATTGCGAACATTTCGTACACTAATAAAATGTGCGTAACATTTCGCACAAGTTTTTTTTTAAGTGTTTTTGGTCCATTTTTACTATCTTTTGCTTTAGATCTTTTTTCTCGTTTTTTCATTATTTCTTTTTTTCTTTTTTCTTTTTTTTAATAATAATTTATATAACCGTAATTTTAAATGAGTCACGCACATTTTTAAGTAGTGTAACAAATAAAAAGCACAATAGTGAGATCAAGAAAATCTCTCCTTTCCTGAAATTTCTTTCAATTAAACTGTTTCCTAAGATTTCCAATAGTAAATATACAAGGGAATAAAAAAAAAAAAAAAAAAAAAAGGGAAAAAAAAAAAAAAAAAAAAAAAAAAGGTAAACAAACAAATAAAGAATCTACCATGAATCATAAATCATTCGAGACACCTTGATAATCCATCCAAGTTCCAACACTTGTATAGCCAGATAACTAGCTTTTACAGTGCTAGTTAAACTCCCATACAAGTTATCATACTACATCACTTTTTTTTTTTTTTTTTGTTACAATCCCCTCATCATAAATATGATTAATTTTCCTCAAGCTCAATCTTCTCCATAGCTGTATATTCCGAGCTCATTGATCCCCTTGCTACTGCAGATATAGGGAAAAGAAAAAGGGAAAAAAAATAATTAAAACAATTGGGCAAATATTCAAACAAGGTCTAAAGGCAATATTTGTTAAATTATTGCATTTGTGAAGACTTTATAGTTTCTAAATTATAAAACCAGGAGAGATTTTCTAACATTCTAATTAAATGTTGTGTAGAAGAAACTAGTTGAAAACAAACTTGAAAATAATCCCTGAAATGACAATTTTTCCATAAAATCTAAGAGGAAAACTAAATTCATTTTAAGACAGACTGGGTCTAATCTATCGCCAGAAAAAATAAAAATAAATAACAAAACAAAATATTTTAAAGTTCATGAATTGAGAAAAACGTTTTTCACGCAATGGGTCCCACATTAAATAAGGTGATTTTCATTGTCATGTTGGACACCACTACTGCTGCGTAAACTTTTTTTTTTTTTTTTTTTTTGAAAAATTAACTTATATTTGTTATCTATCGAATTAACTTTGTCAGTAATATAGGAGAATTTTACCAAAACGAAACCCCCCAAAAGCTGTACGTATGCATCTATGAACATATCAATGCAAATGCCGATCAACCACCAGTACAAAAGTCAGCGCAGCAGCAACCAAAACCGGCAACCCCAGACCGACTTCAGCCCTTCTACGCCGCGAGCTACTCGTCGGAAAATGCACCGGAATCTCACACTCCTCCCCGTTGAAGAAAACCTTCGTCGGAAACCCGTCCCCGCCGCGAACGTCGATCCCCGGCGTCCGCTTCTTGGCGAACGAAATCACCGATTGTTGCTTCCCGGGAACCCTAGGGTCAGTCCTCGGGTTCGTCCCGTTCGTCATCCCCATCAAGTAGTTCAGCCCCGGAAGCCCTTGCAAGAATATTGTATTGTTTACGTCAGGGAGTCTTGTCCCGTTGAAGGAGTAAACGTTTTCGTATCCGGGGTAAGCTTTTTTCATCTGAATCGCGGCGAACCAGTCGTCGAAAGAGGTATTCAGCCAGTTGAAGAGCGTTATCCTGGCCGTCCACCCGCTCTTGTAGTCGGTGTTTATGTGCCAGTTCATGCTCAACCCGCAGTTGTCCGGACACGGCAATGTTTTGGGGATATTATTGTGCTTGATCCTAGCCCATGCCTTGGCCTTCTCCGTCCGGTTTGCGAACGGGACCAGAAGTGCCTCCGGAGGAAGCAGTAGTGGCTGCGCCTCTGGGTCACATGTCGTGGTCGTGATATCAAAAGACCCCGTCGTCTTCTGGCCGCACCCGCAGGCGCAGGTATTGCAGGGGACGACGGAGTCGTTGTAGTAGGCAGAGAAGGAGACGCAGCAGCGGGAATGCCTGGTCTTCGGGCGGGTGATGTTGCAGACGACTTGCCAGCTGGCGATGGCGGTCGTCACCGACTGGAGGCCGGAGGGGTCGGGGAACTCGGTGGGGTCGACGCGGAGGGGGGAGCCGCATTTGTAGTCGGGGTTGAGGACGCCGTCGACTTGCCACTTCTGAGGAGGGTAGAAGGTGGTCCGGTTGCTGACGTCAGGTGGGACTTTGTAGACTTGCAACTGGAAAATGGACCTTGATTTGTTGGAGTCCATTTGGGGTGGTAACAGAGTTCCGTTTCTGCAGCAGAAGGGCAGTTTTCCGACCTTCTCGTCCTCGGCTCGGTCGGCCGGGAGGTCGGAGATCGTCGGCTTCTTTTGGCAGTTCATCACCTGAGACCATGAGCAAGGGCAATAAATGTTATTTGGATTAATGGAAATGCTAACTAAAATTTAGACAATAATATGTGAATGGAGATGTTTGGTGTAAGTAATTGCTCTCTTTTAATATTAGATTTATGTCTATCAATATTTTGTCATCATTTTAGCATATGTGATGATATCTATCTAATTTTTGTGTTGAGATCTAGTATTTAACCAATTACATTATACAACGTAAATAATTTTTTTGAAATAACATATAAAAGTCAATTAAAAGTACTTCAAATTATTTAAATATGTGATATAATTTGATTGGTTAAATATTAAATTGAAAATCTAAAAGTGGATAGACATCTGAGTCCAAATTTTAATTGAAAATTATGATTGGTATGAATGAATATCTTTATATACCATTTTAGAATGATATATTGGAAAATTGGTATATGTTATTATAAGGAGTTGAAATCTAATGTCTCCTTTGTTATCCAGCTAATTCATTTCAAGTCAAAAGATCGTTCTATTAATTTGAATATTTATGTAAATGGCATTCAAGACATAATTTGTTACTTCTTATCATAATATAAAAGATTTGATTAGAAATTTGAAGTATGAAGGATATTAATTTTTTTTTTTTTTTTTTATGCTTGCCTGAGAAAAATCAAGGTCTTTGTAGTACAGTCCGGCGGGGCCGTAGATGCAGTCGGAGGAGTCATGGCGGTGGGTATAAGCTCCTCTCATGGCGTAGATGAACTCTCCTCTGGTCCATTCCCATGTCAAGTTCCAGTGGTCAAGGCGTCCCAAGGAGTTATTGTTGTCTATGGTGACTTGGGCAAGGTAGTTTCCTGAGAAGGCCTGGATGATGTCGTATGTGAAGGATAAGTCGCCGTTTTGGCGGGGGAGAAACTTTGTCGTTTTGGTCGTCTTGGCCTTGTATTTTGGGTCGCTCTTACAGCATACGTACATTGCACTGGTTCCTGTATGTAAAAGAGAAAAAAGTACGTAAAGAAGTACTTGACAGTGTTTTTACAAGCAGAAACTTAAAAAAATTAAAAAAAAATTAAAAAGTACTTCACAATGTCTGTAGTTTGGTCGTGTATCACCGGATGCATGGTTAAATTTATATTTTGTTAGTCCATTTAGTTGACTAATTCGAGTTTTTAATTTGAGTTGAGATGTGACTTTATGTGAGTTTTTTACTGTAATAAAAAGTTAGATGCGACTGTTTTGAGAGTTTTTTACTATAGTAAAACTCGAATTCTAAACTTAAATCGGTGAAATAAACGACACCTTAATATTCAAAGTTTCTGTTGTAGTATTTAGATGTTTTGTTGATGATTTAATTCAACTATGTATTTTTTTTCCCCTTCTTTCTATAAACAATAGATTTGAACTCTACACCTACACCTTAAGATGAAGTCAGGTGTAAACTTCTGGCTAAACTATATATATATTTGAACTCTACACCTTAAGATAGTTATTAGCCTAAATTTGTGTGCCCCTACAAGTTTCAAACATTTAATTTTATGTATAACAGTCTTAGTTGTATCACTACTTTTTATATAAGAGTAAAAAAAATTGTGACAGCATAAAATATTATGTTTGTGTTTGTTTGATAAAAAATCATTTCTAATTTTTCATAATTCTCACTAAAAAAAAACTCTCTCACCGTCTTAAAGATGAATTTGAGAAATTTGCAACCCATTCTTACGTTGCATTGTTTTCTCCTTTTCCACTTTATATAACAAGCTATTCTTGTCTCTTCTTTTTAGGTCAGAATATTCTTTTACTGGTTGAGCTGTGTGGAAACTTGTCTAAAAAAATTTATTTGCATACTAAAAAGAATTATGTCATAAGATAAGTTATTCACACATATAATTAAATTTATTTGTTCTTAAAATGATCATTTTGCAAAAAAAAAAAAAAAAAAAAAAAAAAAGTGTTTCATGTTATAGTAAAACAAATATTAGCTCATTACACAGAGCTAGCACGTAAGAAAACTTGTTGCAGTAGTAAAGATAGAACATTCAATATTATAGCTAATACACAATAATTCTAATTTTTTTTTTTGGTAGTTAATACACAATAATTCTATTATGTGATTGCAGATATTGCTTAGCGATAAATCAGCTCAAATCAACACCCCAAATTCAGAAGAAAAAATTATTATTTTTTGTTTTTTTTAAGGAAATAGCTCTATCTCATCTTTAAAATAACACAACTACATAACTACATATTTATCCTTCAAAAAAACTATATATTATTATTCATTTTTTCTAATTTTAATGCATGATGAATTACCAGAAAACCTACCATGACGGTGAGGCGCCGGGCACTGGAATCCATCATTTTCGAGCCGAATCGTCTTCGGCATCGGAACCGCCTTCGGCTTGAGCCCGAACATCGTGCCGATGATCCCGACGGTGGCCTGAATCTGATCATAATCCCCGGCCGTCTCGATCGCCGTCTTCAAGTCCGCCAACGAAAACCCCGAGAAGTACGTCCCGTTCCCCACGGCCATCGGGAAATCCCCGCCGTCCATAACGACGGCGCCGTCGACCGACACCAAGATCTCGTCGTGCTGAAACCCAACAAACATCTTCCACGCCTTGAGCTCATCCTTCCCGGCATTGAGCACCGCCGCCTCGGCCTTGAACGCCCACGCCTGCGCCGATACGTTCTTCACGTGCGGCAACTCCTTCACGCGCGAGATGAACGTGTACGACAAGAATATTCCGTTGCAGTCCTGCACCTCCGGCGGCGGCGCCGCCTTCGGCTTGCCGCCGTCGTTGTAATCATAGTCCTGGCCGTAGCAGATCTCCACCCGCCAGAATGTTGATATTATTATTATTAACGCGAGAAAGAGAAATGGGAGTGGTTTCTTCATTGTTGGGTCTTGATATCAGGAGAGAGAAAGTGTTTAGAGAGGAGGATATATTTCAGAATCGGCGGTGTTGCCGCGTTCTGCGAGGAGAGAGAGAGAGAGAGAGAAGAGTGGGAGTTTGTCGGAGGAAACCCCATGAGAGAGAAAGAGGAGAAATGTTTTACAAAAATAGGAGGGAGAGACGTTGGGAAGACATGGTCAGCTTTGCATTCTCTTCCGTTGGTTTCAGCGTCTGGTTCGCAGGATTTTTTTTTTTTTTTAAGGACCAAAAAAATTGTCTTCTTACCCTTCATTAAAATAAAACTTTCTAGCTTAATTATATGTTTCCTAGTTTTAATTGTTGTTTTATTGGAAAATTTTTTATTAAATTATGTTTCCTAGATAAAAAGAAAATATATGCAAAGCATATGAACCTTAACATAAATCTAACGGTTCAAATACAAGGTCTATTCTATAAGATTTTTTTTCTTAATATCGTACTGTAAAAATCTCATTTTTTTAAAAAAAAGAAAAATGTAAAGAGCTGTCTCTGTGATGGAAGAAGCTAATTTTAGGTTAGGAAACAATTCGTTAGTTTCAAAGATTATAAGTTTCGGCGGTGTGGTAGGCAATTTTTGCATTTTCAGATCTCCTGATGAACCAAAAAAAACAAAAAACTGAGTATTAATAGCTTTGAAATATACATATATAATGCAATATCATGTGGATTTTTATACGTTTTTGATTAATTATTGACGAGTTTCATATGTTTTTCGCTTTAAAATTTCTTAATTATTTTTGTCAGCAATAGAAGAAAAAGCTCTATTGCCAACACCGGAGGACATGGACTTGGGCGTAGACGCATAGTTGGAATTTCAAAAAGTGAGTACACTGCAGGAGTCACACATCGCTTGGACACTGCCGTCCTTTGCAGCTTATATTGCATAAGATAGGATAATTCAATCCCCCTTTGGGTACATATGATAGAATTGAAATGGAGAAATATTATGTGTTTTTTTAAAAATGATTTCGTTTTGAATAAAAAAAAAATAAAAATAAGATTATTTTGAGAATGACTAATTCTAAAATTGCGTTTTTAATTTTATAAGAGGTTATTTTGAATATAATAAAAAATAAAATTATATTTATTAATTAATATATTATAATATTATTGATAAGTATTAAAAAAATAAAATAAAAAAGTGAAAATAATTTTTAATTATTTTTTATTTCTTTCAAAAACAAAATTAACTCCGAACACAGTCACTATTTTTCTTTTTATTTTTATTTTTAAAATATTTACTAAATAAATATCATTTCGTTTTTATTTTATTTTTTACTTTTTAAAATAAGTAAAAATCGTTTTAAAAAAACGATCCAAACACGCAAAAATAATTTCAGAGACGCAATATTTTGGGAACAGTTTTATAGAAGCAATTTTGGATCATCAAAGACATAGAAGACGATGTAAACAAACCAAGATACAAAAACAACAAAACAACTGGTCGGCTCTGTCGATACTTATTCTGAAATGAAACTAGTTCGAAATAATCAACTTCAATTTAATGGGTAGGTTTATCATTTGTGAACAAACCCAACAAATCCTCCATTGTATTGTAGTATATATCTTCTTCGGTGGAGGTTTTCTTTTATAATTTTTCAAAGAAAGGCTTTGGTTGTTGATGTTCTGGCATTGTTTTTTTTTTTTGAGTTAAGGGAGTAAACGAACAAGGGAGTTGGAAGCTTTAGTTGGGCTTTCTGGGTTTTCTAAGGAATGAGAAGAAAGAGATCGCGAGGGACAGAGAGAAGCGTGGGAAGGTTATTATTGAATACGGCTTATTTTTAGTACAGTGTATTGTATTATTTTATAGTGAATTGATGATTTAAGTTGCGGTTGAGTATGATTAGGAGTCGGGATCATGCCAATATAAGGTCATTTTGGAACCTAGTTGGGCTTTCTGGGTTTTCTAAGGAATGAGAAGAAAGAGATCGCGAGGGACAGAGAGAAGCGTGGGAAGGTTATTATTGAATACGGCTTATTTTTAGTACAGTGTATTGTATTATTTTATAGTGAATTGATGATTTAAGTTGCGGTTGAGTATGATTAGGAGTCGGGATCATGCCAATATAAGGTCATTTTGGAACCTATAATTATTGAAAAATTAAGAGGTATAATGCAAATTTATATTTTTTTAAAAATATATTTTCACTCCAAACTTTTTTGTAAAATTACATTTTAATTCCAAACTTTTATAAAATTACACTTTGACTCCAAAAATTTTAAAAAAGTTAATTTTGACACCAAAACTTTTTGAAAAATTATATTTTGACTCTAAAATTTTTTAAAAATTACATTTTGACCCTAAAATTATTAAAATTTTACATTCTTTATACAATATGTCATGACACCAAACACTGTATTGTATTATGATAACACAATACAATACACTTTATACAATACAATACAAGCTACCAAACATGTCTTATACTTAATGAACTACATGCGTAGATTGAATTAATACTTTTTGGAAAAATGTAAATGTTTATGCATATCCGAATCCTTTGACGGATGTGATTTTTGCTTCCAAGCCTCAAAAAATTGTAGCCAGATATTGTGTTTATTATTATTATTTATTTTTTTGCTTCCAAGCCTCAAAAAATTGTAGCCAAATATTGTGCACGTTATTCTTCTTATTGTTATTGTTATTATTATTATTTTATTATTATTATTATTATTTATTTTTTTGCTTCCAAGCCTCAAAAAATTGTAGCCAAATATTGTGCACGTTTTCCTTCACACACTTCTGGTTAATATCAATTCATATGAGCGTTGCTATATAGCAAGAGTAGTAAAACTCACGATCCAAGTGTCTGAATCCAGTAAAGCCATTGCACTCCAATTTTTTTAATATTATTGGTCATTGATAAAAACAATAAAGCTTTCTAACTTCTTCTCTCCCTTTCTCTATGTTTTTATTGTTGATGACTTATATATCTCTATGTTTTTATTGTTGGTGACTTATATATCTCTATGTTTTTATTGTTGGTGACTTATATATCTCTGAAACTTAACTTCTTTATATGGACAATTCGCAAGAAAAAGAAAGGCTCTTGAAGTGTTTTAAACGTCTCAGTGACTTATATATCTCTGAAACTTCTTAAACTTCTTCTTTATGTGGACAATTCGCAAGAAAAAGAAAGGCTCTTGAAGTGTTTTAAACGTCTCGTTTTCATGAGCTAAATGAAAATATTTCTGGGTATCAGGATAGATAAGCCATTCGCTCTTTCATTCATGTACAATGCAACAAGGACGCAAAAATCAACTCTGAAATTTTCGGTTTTTTTTTTCCTACTTGGATGAAAAAAAAAAAAAAAAAGGTACCTAAAAAAATCATAAAAAAGAACTTTTTTCAAACCACAAGTCCACAACCCAGAACAATCACCGGAAAGCATTTTTCATTCATATATGCAGGAAGAGATAAAAGTCTTTTCCATTTTTCTAAAATTTCCTTTCAAATATACAACAGCAAAATAGCCAAGTCCAGTGAGTAAAGAGACTAGTATCCTAATGAACCTTGTTCAGTGATTTATCCCATCCACTTCTAGTTCTAATGTCAATTCATCGATGCACTAGCAAATTAAGGGTCGTTTTCATTTTTGTAAAATTTCCTATCCAATATACAACAGAAAAATAGCCAAGTCAATAGAGTCAAGAAACGATGATCTCCTCTGCACTACCAATTTCTTCGACGAACTGGGCTTTCGGTTCCAAGTCGATGAACTGGTTAGACTTACTCGCAAGATGTGAAATGCTAACCCTGCCCTGACGCTTAATATAATCTGCAACGGCTTGCATTTCTTCTTGAGAGATGTATATATACTTTCCTCTGTCATCCATTACACCAGAAAGTCGCCCTATTATAGGAAGAAACGAAACAATATATCAAGTTTTGCAGTCACTTTTTTTATGTACAAAACACAAATACCAAATTATGGTGTAGACAACACAAAATTCAATTACGAATCTGAGGAGCGCTGTAAACTTTAACTAATAATTAGTAAAGTTGCATAAAATAAAATAAAAATTTTAATGCAAAAAAGTTGTGAAGAGGAAATACGCAATAGACGAGAAAACTTGAATAAGGAATCGGAATGGAACATACCCATACTCTCCAAAGAGGTGATGCGATTAATACATTCCTGCATCAAAAATAGGGGAAAATTTAAAACAAATTAATGGAGTTCACTACCATAATTATAAGAGAAAATTGAACAGAGCCTACCTGAGTCCTTAACTTGAACTCCGCAGCAAGATCTTCCAAAGGAACACACTTGTGTTTCTGCAAGATTACAATTAAAAAAATAAAAAATAAAAAAAGACAATTCTTAAGAATTACCACCATAACAAACTTTTTAGATGCCTCATCTTCATTTATCAACACTCTGAGAAACAATATCCTTAAATAGTTTCATCAGGGCAGGATGTAGGAATAAGCCACCATGACTTGCTTATTTGACATGAGCTTGAGCTCTTCTCAAGTTTAAATCAGAAATTTGACCAACCAGTATACCATTGAGCTTGAGATTATTCAGTATGTAAGCCAAGTCTATATGTTTGAGCTTCGAGTAATTATCAAACAAGCAAGTCTAGTGCAATTCATTTTTTCCCTAGTTTCAAATAAAATCACAAGGCTCGAACCGACACACAGAGAATAAGAATAATCATGAAATTGGGAGTCTAAGAGGAAAATAACTGAAAGCTACCTTTATGTACTCCACAAAATTAGAAAGCTTATCTTGACTTCCCTCTTGCACTTCATTTTCTGTGGTACCTTCAACATCAACAGAAAATTCACCTTTCCACTTTTCAAACTCCAATGCAGCAGCTTCCTCTTCCTTGGCCTTTTGGGCCTGGGCTTCTTCTTCCTATGAAAACAAAGACCATATTCTTCAATGAAGGAACGCTATAATAGACGGACAAAAACACGCCAAAATCCCAACACCATAGGAAGAGGGGTAGAATCACCCACCAGCTTACGCTCGAGTGCCTCACGCTCCTCATCTTTCTGCCTCCTCTTTTCAACATAATAGTCTTGTTTTGTTTTCCTTGACTCACGTGAAGCTTGTTCAGCCTAAACACAGTAGATAGTACAAAATGTATATGCAGTGCAGGTTCAAAAAAATATAAAAGAAGCATTCTCATGAAAAAACACACAAGAACCAAAGACCAAAAACAACGTCAAGTTATCTACTTTATGAACTGTAAGCCAAATCTTTCCCATGTATTTAAGCACTTAGAGTGCATTTAATTCATAAATAAAAAGAGAATGACTCATTCTCTTTCCTCCCATTCATGCGTTTACTTACTAGACCGTAAATGCAATTATGCAATTTAATTCTTAGTAGATAAGCATACACTTGAATTAAATACTTCATTCATTTCTCCATTCCCCATCTTTCCTTTCTACATCCTTTCACTTTGCGACTAAAATCCATTACAAACTAGTAACACCCTTAGTTTACAGTTGGGTTGACATTTTTCTCCTAGAAAGATATGGCAGTCAAACATGTTGGTTATCTTATAAACCTCACTCATAACGCCAAAAATAAACAACTATAGTCATTCTGGTTTTGGAGTCCATATTCCTAAGCAATTCATTCAAACTAGGGCTTTTCCGGACATTGATGACTAGGGCCATAACAAGGACTAAGAAAACAAAAATGGCTTCAGTAAAATGGTAAACAAGAAAGCAGAGAAAACAATTGCCTGTCTTTGCGCTTCCCGCTCTTGCCGTTTCTTTTCCTTTTTCGTTGATGCTCTAGCTTCATAGGGCTCTTCATCCTCACTCTCATCAACAGCTTCTGCATTAATTAACGATTGATTCAAATTATTCTAGGAAAAATGGAAGTTTAGTTTGACAGCCATTGAAGTAACAATAAATATATTAAAAACAAATTACACAAACATGCAAAATTATCTTCACAATGCCCATATAATTGAAAATTTGTTATGATCTTCTTCATTTTCTCTTTAGCCTCTACCACAAATCCCTCTACAAAAACCACATTAAATTCCTCCACATCGCAATTCTCATAACTTCAAATCAGCCATTATCCATGCACAAAAATAAAGCCCTAATATTTCTCGTAACTCTGTTTGCTAATTGGATTAATTTAAAATTTAATTTTTAAAAAAAGCGAAAAACGAAGCGAAACCTTCTTGAGGCGGTGGCGCCGACGAAGAGCTGGCTCCAGAAGCGGGTCTCCGGCGCATACGCCGAGCGGCGGTGGCGCGAACCACAGTCTCTGTTCTCGGGACCTGAATCCGAAGCAAATTCATGAATCAATTGAGGAGAAAATTCTTGTTTGTTTGGAAGGAAGGAAGGAAAATCGGAAGAAAATAGCAAGGAAAATCGAAACCTGAGGTTCTTCGCGATGATGATCAGGCGATCGGGAGTCTTGGCGGCGTTTCCAAAGATAGAGCGGAATCAGTGCGATGACGAGAAGCACTGAGAGAATCGCAGCCAGGAGTTCCTCCATTGCCGAAACGATTTGAGAGAATACAAGAGAAGACAGGAAACGTGGGAGGAATGAAAATAGAGAATTGAAACTCAGTTGATTCACAATGGGGCCGTTTCGTTCACCCGTTTAGCTGTCTGAGCAGGGTGGCTTTTCCTATAGTGTTTTAATTATTTCTTTTTATTGTTAATTTTAATACGATTCGTGACAAAAAAAAATTTTTAAAATTTTTAAAATTTTTAAAGGACGTTTGGTTAGAGGATTCAAAATTCCTATAGTGTTTTAATTATTTCTTTTTATTGTTAATTTTAATACGATTCGTGACAAAAAAATTTTTTTAAAATTTTTAAAATTTTTAAAGGACGTTTGGTTAGAGGATTCAAATCATGTGATTCGAATTATTTTTTATTTACGTGAATTTTTCATGAGAGAAAATACTGTAGCGAATCACGAATCATGATTCGAATCAGGGAACGAATCCATCTACCAAACATCCTTTATATGACACAATCATTTTATGTATTAATAGGATCCGAAAATAATTTGTGATACAAAATTAACTTATATACTCAAAATTAACACGAAAATTATATATATTTTTTTATTTTTTACATATTAAAAATAACTTAAAATTCATAATACGCTAAATTACAATAACATTCATCAAAATTAAATAAATAATAGTATTAAATTTTGAGTATAACTATCATGATATCACAAGTTTATATATTTCTTTATTTTTCACAAGTTTCGTGTCGTGTTCTGGTTAGGCGGGTCCAACCCAAAATTAACCCGTATTTTTCGCGTCAATTTCAGGTCGACCCAATTCTAACCCGTACATCTTTTTTCTCAACCCTAACCAACAAAATTCGTGTCGTTTTTGAGTTGTGACTCATATTGTCGGCCCTGTTTCTTTCTATTTATTATTTTTTAATTAATCTTACAAATAGTCCCCTACGCCGAGCTTTAGCTTCAATTCCATTTAAGTCTCTTATTTTTCAAACATCGCACAGTTGGTCTCTGAGGTTTTATTCTGTTTCAGTTTCGGTCCTTCTGTGTACTTGGTGTTAAATATTTGACATAATCTGTATAAATTATGGATTAAAATTGGAAACATATAAAATTTAAAGACTGAAATAATACAAAAAAACTAAAAGATAATTTTCATATACAGACCTAAAATTTTAGCTATTTTTAGTTTGGACTCTAATTTACACAAATTTCATTAAATTTTAACGCATAATTGATTGAAGGATTAAAACTGAAACAAAATAAAGCCTAAACGACCATCTGTGCAATGTTTGAAAAGTCAGAAACTAAAGTGAGATTAAATAGAAACTCAGTGGCAATTAACCTCTTTTTTGAAACTCCTTTATCTTTTTTCTTTAGTTTTTTTTTCTTTTTTCTTTTGCCTCCCTTATTTTTTTACTAGTTGAGCCAAGTGCTATTTATGTGGAGAATTACTTTATAAGTTTGATCCCGTGTTAAAATATGTAGCCTATTTAAAAATTAAGTTCATTAATTAGAGTAAGAAGGAAAAAAATGTATTTGAAAAAATTACATTAAGAGAGAATATATTAAAACTATATAGGAGTTTTTTTATTAAAAAAAAAACTTAAGTATTGAAAAGATTTATATTAATTAAAATAAAATAAGAAAAAAAAAATATTTTCAAGAAGGAAATTGTAAAAGAAAAATGAAATGTCAAAGGGGAAACAAAAAAGACAATAGGTAAAATAAAAAAAGGAGAAATAAAATAAAAATTAAAAAGAAGAAAAGTTAAAAAAAAAAAAGAAGAATGATGCAAACACGTTGTCATTTTATAATCTAAAGTCCAATAAGGAATTTGGCTCTTTTTATATACGTTATATTAGATTACATATGACATAATAATAGCTAAAAATAATTAAACTTTAGGGGATATTTTAGAAAAAAAAATAATAATAATAAAAAATGAAGTAAATGCCTATTTAAAAGAAAATTTTTAATATAAATAAATTAAAAGAAAAAAATATTTCAAAAAAGTATATAATAAAAGAGTTAAATGTTTAGAAACAGAAAGTACTTGAGAAAAAACTGAAAAATAAATATGCAAGAAAAAATAATTAAAAAGTAAAAAAAAGAGGGAGTAAAAGTATATAAAATAAGAGAGTTTCTCTAGTAGTTTCTTATTTTTCAGCTATCAGATATGTATCAGAATCTATATGTTCTACATATTTTTTCAATTTAATGTAATTTTGATCAGATTTAACGATTAAATACTGAGACTATCGGTAATGCAGCCTACCAGAAAAACTCCAAACAAAAAAAAGGAGGTCAAATAAATATTAAAGAAAGTAAGAAAGAAAAAATGAGAGAGATGAGGAGGTGTTACCACATAAAAGAGCTTTAGCTCTTTTATATATGTTAGATTAGATTCACCTTTTAACATTTAATTTTTATATATTTTTAAATGTATTTCATTAAATATTTTTCTTACTGTTATTTAAAATATTTTTTTATGTAATTATTTTGTTAAATTAATTTTTTTAAATGTGTCTCTACATAAACATTTTTTACTTATACTTATGATTCTTATAATTTACAGCTTTAGTTGCGAAACATTTTAAACAAGTTGTTTTCTTAAGTTGTCTTTTTGTTGTTGTTCTTCCCTATCTTTTGATTTATATATTTTTTCTTACTTTTGGCTTTATTTCTTTTATCCTTTCTTTTCTTCTTCTTTTTTTTCCCCGCTGAATTATATGACCATTGTTTTAAATTAGTTGTGCGTTTTAAACTAGTTTGCGTTAAATGGTGAAATATATATTTTTTCCTAAGCCCCGTTTGGTAATTTTTTTAAGTACTTTTTCTTATTCTTGTGTTTCATTTTTTAAATAAAAAACATGTTTGGTAACTACCATTTGTTTTTTTATTTTTAAAAACAAAACGACCAAAAAATTTGTTTGGTAATAGTAATTTTGTTACATTTTTTTTTAAACGAAAACAAAAATATTACATGAACGTGATGTCGGGACCGAAATAATAATATGTGATCAACATCGAGATTAGACTGACGTTGATCAACTTGCTCAACATATAGTCCTAGTAAAAGTGAGAAGAAAGGAACTACTGAAAAGTTCCCATTTTAACCTGTGTATATATTTTCAATTTAATAATCTAATGTAAGAAACTCTCCTAGTAAACAGGAATCAAAATTAAAAACTAAAGATATTCTCTTGTCTTTAGAACTTATTTTGTTCTAATAAGTAATAGTTGCGTCAACAATTTAGGGTATGGTGCACCAAGTGGTCTTAGTGTTTCAAATCTCTTGACCTTAATCAATAGAAAGTTCTCGTCGATTGTAGAAATGTTATTCAAAGAGCATAATAGGTGTGCCCCATTTGGTTTTCAATTATCCAAATTCGGCAGTGGAGTGTAGTTTTTGTTTGGGGTTAAATTAGCATTAGCGTCGCGTCGGTAAATTTAACAATACATAAAAAGAGTCAAAGTACTCTCCCATTAAGAGTTAAAAAAATTTTGCTCACTTAGTGATCAGTGCATGAAAATGCACCCTAAATACTGCTTTTGATTTATATAATATTAAAATATTTAAGCTTTAATTAAACAATTACATTATTTTTATTTAAAATATTTTTAATTGGAATTTGGCTAGTTTTTGTTTAATTATTTACTGATGAAAGCAGTATAAAAAACTACACAAGAATAAGCCATGAAAGCCATGTTTTCAAACCACTCAGAGCCAAGCTCTCAGCCGAGCCGCACAAGCCGATCAGAGAGAGGGAGAGCCGCGTGAGCCGAGCCACAAGCTGATTCCAGCTCTCCCACGTTTCCTCACTCTTCCTCACACGCGTCACCTGCACGCATGGCCTCAACGCGCGCGTTCCTTCCACGCAGACATCAGCGCGCGTTTCAGCTTCTCCCGCGTGGGTCCCGCGTATGCAATGCCAGTCTGATTTACCAATGAAGTCGCGCCAGCTATCAACCTTGTCCCATGTCTGACCATCGCCAGCTCCGTCCGCCCAATCCGCCCACGACACGTGACGCTTTTCCTCCTCACTGCCAATCACGTTGCGACACGTGTCCCCTTGGTGTTGAATCTGAATTTCTCCATCAATATCAGAGCAAATTGGCCAGATTTCTTCCCCAAATTAAATATATGATTTCTCCTAATTTATGTGTAATTTTATTTTGTTTCCTTTTCTTTTGTAATTTTCTAGTTTTATAATTTATTTCCTTATTTGACAGTCAACCTCTGAACACTATAAATAGAGGAGTTGGCCTAAGGTTTTAGAAGCTTTGAATATTCAGTTTTCTGTCGTCTTGCTGTCAGTCTCATATTTTCTCTCTAGAACTTGTGAGAATGTTTTGCAAGATAGGCTAGAGTTTTCTTGGTGAGGTTAGAGATGAACTTCTGTTGAGTGACCCAATTCGGGGTTTTGATTCCTTGTTCTGTAAACTTCAACATCTGAATGAATTAAATCTCATCTATTTTTCTATTACTTTTCAAAATATTGTGTGCCAATTTTTATATAAGTTCAGTCACGCTTTTCTTATGTAATTCTGTCATGTAATGTTTTGTTATTCAAATTATTTTACAAATTATCTTTTACTACAATATTGTCAGATTGATATATTGTCGATTTTAGATAACTTGTAATAATAATATTTTCTGAGCCAACATAGAGATTTAATTTATTCGATTATTTTATTTTGTGAATCAAAACTTGAATTGGTGAACGAAGCATTAGGGATTCTCGACACCTTACCGTTTTCTTCATACATATTTTCTCCTTTTTATTTTATTTGCAACAAAAATCTCAAAAACTCTCATTTTTCTTTAATTCACTTTTCTCTAACGCTCTTTGTTCTGTTAATTATTCTTGTTATTTTGTTATCTCTCTGTGGATACGACCGCCCTTCTGTGTTACAATTGACCGCTTGTGAATATCACTTTTAGGCGTTAATCACTTAGGTCCAATGAACCTATTGTCTTTTACATGTGTTTCTATTTATTTTTTTGTCAATGGTTAAACTAATTTTCTTCAAATGTATCTATACTTAATTATTTTTCGTGTAATTCTTGTTATATCAAAAGTTATCTTTACATACTTTTTTTTTCTATAGTGCTCCCTCAAA